AACGAGCGAGGGCAGAAGGTATTAGGAAGCAAAAATGATAACAAAAACAGTAGAAACTCTTACTAAGCAGTTCTCTCTGAATGGTATACACTATAAGTTTTCTAGCTCTTCTGCGACCGTAGTGCCTGATATGAAATCAATTACTGCTCTTGTTTTTCTATATGTTTCTTTAATCATTTCAATATGATTAACTTTTCCGAAATGTCGTATATTTTTGAAAATTTGTGATCTTTTTGCATAACTTAAAAGATCCCAAACTGTTATCACATTTCTGATATTATTCATTGCTTTTGTTTCTGTTTGTTGACTGCTATTAAAATTCTTTCTTTCTTTATAGAGTGCTTTTCTTTTGTTATCTTGTACAGATCTCTCTTTTCTAAGATTGTATACTTCTTCTAACTCTTTTTGGACTTGTTTCTCTCTTTTGGCTTTATCATTTTCTTCATCATTCACTTTGTCTTTGGTTGGTACCTTTTTTGTTTTTTCTTTGGTCGCTTTTCTACTGTTTTTGTTATCATTTTTGCTTCCTAATACCTTCTGCACTAGCTCGTTATCTTCGAACAAAATGTTGTACCATTCATTTGCTTTTTTCTTTAACCTTTCTTTTAAGATTTTAACTCCTTTATAGTAGTCGAAGCTGATGACGACCTATGAGTTCCCATTCGTAAAGTACTCTTCAATTTTGCTTATATGTTTGCTTCTATAAAGAGTTCCCTCTACAAACTTGATTCTCTCTTCTTTAGACTTGCTTGGGAGTGAGATTGATGCTATTTTTGTCTTGTACTCTCCTGGTCCTTCACATATGTTCTCATTGGAGGCCCAGAGACTATCTTCAAGTGAGTTCCTTTATAGTTCTTTATATTCTAATACTTCTTGTTCTACTATATCTTCTACGATTCTGTCTTCTACTTGTAGAATATAGACTTCCATTTCTGCTTTAGGTATTATTTTAGCTTCTTGGTATACTTGTATTATTGTATTTGTAATACTACTAGCCATTTCTTCTATAGTGATCTTTGGGAACTCTATTGGTTGATCATTTT